TATATATTATTTTGTTGGTTCAGTGGCTTTGAGAAGCTTTTTATGTTTTTATTTATGAATGATGATTTTATAAAATCTATGAAGTAATTAATGTTTTTTCTAATAGTGGTCTTGGTGTAGAACTATGATGGAGAGAGAGATTGAGAAACAGGATCAAGATTTCAAGATTTTTTTAAAAAAAATTATGTGCATCCGTTAAAACTTAAAAGTAACTGATAATTTGCAGAGGCAGTAGTTGTACGATATATCAACTTGTTTCCTCGTACTCTGACATAGTGTATTATCAACGTTTTGTGTGTGTGATGATTGCAGATGTTGAGTTTTTGAAAAATGGGAATTCTAAACGGTTGGTAATAGTGGTCATGTTTCTATTGGGCATAGCAGTGCAAGTTTACACAGCAAATTTAACATCACTTTTAACAGAGAGACAACGGCAAAACCTTCTCCATGGAGGGACGTGCAAGAGATCAGAAGGAACAATCAGTCCGTGGGATACCAAAACAATTCCTGGGTGAAAGAGCTTCTGATTCACCAAATAGGATTCGATCCAACTCGGTTAAAGCCTTTAGAAAGTCCCGAACAGTACAAGGAAGCATTATCAAACGAAGACAAAGAAAAAGGCATTGTTGCTATTTTTGATGAAACTCCTTATCTCATGCTTATGCTTTCCCAATGCCCTTCTTGCAAGATGACAGGACCAATCTACAAAACTGCTGGATTTGCTTTTGTGAGTACTGTTCTTCTGTCCTCCCCAACATATATATGGCCTGTCAAACTTGGATGATGTACGATGTTGTATTTTCAGGCGTTCCCAAAGAATTCCACCTTGGTCTCGAAGTTTTCAGTTGCAATATTAAAAGTGACTCAAAATGTGGTGATGTTTGGTGACATGATGAAGAGCATATCCTTAAACACTACTATTGACAAATCCGAATTCAAAAGTGGTGTGGAGACACGAAGTTTGACAATAGAAGACTTTGGAGCCCTTTCCCCGGTAGCATGTGTTTTAGCTCTCTTCTTCGGCCTTTCAATTCTGAAACCTCAATGGCTGCAAAAGAAATGGATTTCTTGTTGGACAGTGCGCGGCGGAGGAGTTATATATTGAGTAGCCAGCTGAAAACATCTGTTAAAACCATCATGTTACGCATGTGTACTTACTGTGAATAGTCCGAGTGATAAGAATAAGGTGATGAAACACTAAAACTGAAGACCTTTTGATTGTGACTGGGGTAAAACAAAAATGAAATCCTTGACCATCCTATCTCTCTTCTCTTCAGTCAGCTTATTATCATTTGAAATTGCCTGCAATTATACTATTGCATAGAGGAAGGTAAAGAACACAATTTAGCCTTTTGACATAGGAATTTGGAATTTCTGGCGCAACAATTCCAGATGTCATCCCACCAAAAAAACAAGACTACAATGTTTTATTAAAGGGAATGAGATTTAGTCTTTTGTACATTGGAAAGATAAACTTCTTTTTCGGGACAAAGAAACGTAAGTTCATGTCTTGGCCCTTCATAAGTTTGCCAGGAAACAGCATCCTCAAATAAACATTCCAAGCCTATACATACCCTTATCCTGAAAGAAGTAGCCTTTGGGGTTCCATAAAATGGGGCAACAAATGCAGAATTCCTCACCTGATCTCCAGAGCCTTCAAAAAGCTTCCAATCTAGAAAAACATACTGCGTTGAACCATCATCATTCATGGTCATGCTCAGCCACAATCTGTTATCATTGGTGATATTGTGGAGGGTGATATCACACTCAATGCCTACTGGTAGTCCCGAAACGAAAGGAAGAGGGTGTTCAGAGTCACTACTGAGAATACTTAGCTCCGCTCGTACATGTCTAATTGTTCCACTACAACGAACTGCTTCAAGAGAATGACTCGAGACACTTGTAAAACTCCAAATGACTCTGGGAAGCGTCATTTATGGAGGTGCCACCTTCAGATAACAATTTCCTGAGTTCAATTATGAATGTGGATGGCATGACAGAGCGTTCTTTGAGGAGAAATTCTACGTGCGAAAATATTGCAGTCAACCTCTTTGATGTAGGAATTCGACAGCATACGTCAACTTTACACAGCCTAAGAACACAAGTGACCAACATTAGCTCCAAGACATTCAATTCCTCCTGCGGAGAAAAGCCTATGAACCGATATCTGAATTCTTTAACTCTCCTATCAAGCTTTGCCAGTTCAAAGTCTATTGCTCCCATTGCACGAGAACATATCAATTTCTCTTGGAAGAAATTTCCCCAAATTTTTGCAAGGCCCTTTATTATTCGAAGATATTGCAAAGTAAATGCTAAAGCATCAGCAGATTCCATAGTATCAAATCTCATAGTTGCCAGATCTTCCTTCCCACTCCTACATTGTCAACACAACGCTTAAAAAGAAAATCAAGATAATATTTCACATGCATGCATGCGCTTAATGATCAAAACATATCAAATGTCATGTAGCAATAGCAAATAAGCTCGCAGGACAAACATCTTCAATTCAGGCCCCCAAACAGATGGTGTTCCCCATGAACTAGCCACGTTCTGAGTGTAAGATGAGCATGTGAATCTAAATACTCACACAAAATTATGTGCCAATGAATAGAACTGTGACAGCGAATCACTACAAAATTCTGCTATAATTTACAGCCACTATATACATACAGATATATCAGCAAATCTCCACATAAATTACAGCCACTATATACATACAGATATATGATGGAAGCTAAATTGAATTAGAACCAAAAGGATACAAATATCAATGAACTACATTACCTTAGGATCTGAAGAACTTCGCTTGTAAAGCCAGATTGTATGAGGGACCAGATACCTGGGACCTTCAAAAGAGTAAGATCCGTAAACTTTATAACTTCGTCATGCACTGGCCGTTGTTCTACTTGAGAATTGAGTATATCTTTTGGCTCCCTCACAAAATGGGACTGAGTTTCAGACTCCACATCTCTTGTGTGTGATGTCTCAACAACACTTGTCACATCAATGCTGGCGCAATAACTGTAATCACCTTGAACTAAGGGTAATTGTTGCTCCCCTTCACCATGGTTAATATCGGAGGCTAAACAACCAATAGATCTACTTTTATCAGATAGGTAGGCCAAAAGGGCATCCCTATCCATAACATCAATAAAAGCAGAATAAATCCTCCCTAGGAGTGTAACAGCGTAAGAAAACAAAATTGGAGGTATGGTGCCTACATTTACACGTGAGAGTGAGGCAGAGACACAAAGGACTAAAAGTGCAGCCACTCTCGCACTATTGAATTCTGAGTTGCCTTCAAAAGCTGCTTCTACCTGAAAGAATGATGTAGCAAAATATCAACTTAATCTCAATTATCTCTGCCAAAAAATAAGATTTTTGGGTGATAAAATTCATTCACCTTGATTAGTTGAATAAATCAATCTTGAGAAAACTACAGGCAAAATGAATCATTGTTCCTCCCTCTATGAGGTTGCATTCTTCTGATACCAGAACATTAGATATTGATATCATGAAAAACTGAAAACCATACTACAATTTTTTGCCACAAGAACATGGCAATGAATTTATCAATGTTCTATTACGGGGATAAATTACAAAAGCAGGCAGCAGCATTAGCTGAAATGTAATGCCAAAATCTGTCCCCCGAAAAATTATAGATACCTAAGCTTATCTTATAAGCCAAAGATATACAAAACTAATACTGTAAGGGTAAATTCTAAGCAGTAAGTACAGCTGGCATGCTGCTTTCCAATACCAAATTTCTAAGGATGCCCTCTAACTATAGTGTCAACCAAGTTTAGTTTCATGTTAACAAGACGTGCAAAATGTTCATGAAGTTCCTGGGCATGTTATATAATCATCATCAGAAGGAACAAGTTCACCTCTTCAAAAACTTCTTTGGATACAATGGCTACAAACTGCTGGTGATTTCGGCCAATATGGGAAACAGCTGAAAATACATCAGCTTCGTCCTGCCATGAGAGTATGCAGATGTTAAAATGAACAGGAGTTAAAAGTTCAGTAAATGCCAAAAAGAGTATGTTGTTGTTCTGTGTGTGCGTATTCGCCTCTTTCTTCAACTATTAAAAAATTAAGCAGCATGAGATCCATATAGCATAGACAAGATGGATAAAATGAGGAAGTAAGGTTCAATGGTCATAGGGTATTGAAGTGAACATTTAGGAGATAGTAAATACTAAATAATAATGAGCTGGAAGGCATAAGGAAAGAGTGGATGCAGTGATGATAAGTCCCTCACCAATCGGGAAAATGGGTGGCAAAATGAAGGGCTAAATCATCCCATCTAGATTTGATTGAGAACATGATAACATGCCTAAGATGTACAAATCGTCCATAGCATAGCAAGATATGCAGTCCATGCTAGGGTTTCCCCTCCGAGAGAGAAATACTTTGAAAATGTGAGTGAGAGACTATATTGGTTTCAAGAATCAAGATGAGTCAAATGCTTTTAAAAAGGGGCAGCCTGCTTTGAACAAAAACAGGGAAAGGATCCAACAAAGTGATCAGACAAGGATGAAAATAAAATTTTGTAAGCATTTCAATAAATTGCATACCCAAAACTTAATGTTATTGTAAAATCTCACGAGCCCATCTTAAGAATCAAAAAGATAAAATTGCAGAATAATTAGAAGAAAACCTGTGGGTAAATATTCAAACTATCTAGAAGACCATCGATTGCTGATTTAAACAACAAGAGACTATTCAGCTTCACTTGTTTAAGTATTTTCCTTGCTGCACATCTCACTTCCCTGTTGTTGTCAGCTAGAACACCAATAAACTGGAAGAGCACAGAATTAAACATGATCAAGATAATAACTTGCCAAGCAGATAAAAGAGTGTTAAAAATATGCCAGCAAAAAGAAATTTTCATTCAATATATAATTTAAATTTAGAAATAAGGTGCTTAAATACCCCAAAAATATCCACGAAGGAGCACCTGACACCTGGAAGTTTTTTTTCCCCCTCTTATATGCCCTGAAAGTTTTATTTTGTAGTATTTCTATCCTAAACCGTTACCTGTCATTAAGTTTGACCGTTAAAAGCATCGGTCAAACCGTATAACTTAACAGCGGATAACGGCCAAAATATTTTTGCTACGAAATAAAACTTTCAAGGTAAATAGGAGACAAAAAAAAAAACTTCCAGGTGCAAGGTGCCAGGTGTTCCTTCATAGACACTTCCCGGGTGTTTAAGCACCTTATCCCTTAAATTTATTGACAAGGACTAAGGATCTTCGAAATTCCATCGGAGAAAGAAACCCCTTATCAGTTCTAACTGGTATAATCTGCACAATCAAATCATGGAAATCGCTAACTCTCTTTGAAAAAGCTTTATCATAAAACTTAAACCTATGGGCCATGAACGACTCTGGTAATTTATTATGTTATTGCAAAGGTTATACAGTTTCCTAGTAATTGATTTGATCAACGTGACCAAGTAAATTAGTTATTTGATTCATTCTACAAAATTAAGCCGGGGGGGGGAAACCCTTCTTTTTTATTTTGAAAAAAAAAAAAATCAATTTGACTCCCAACAACCATAAAATATAGTCATATATTGGATATTCAGCCTACATATTTATCAAGAATGAAAATCATACCATGTGCAAATGTTTTTCCTGAACCTTCAGACAGCCACTAGTTGCCATATAATACATAGTTTTCAAAGCTTGCAATCGAACAGTCACCGAATCATCATTCAACACATCCATTAAAATGTTCAAAGCTTCATGAGCAAACTCAGCGGAGAGGACTGCAAGTCTTTGCAAGGACTGGCATGCAGACTTTCGCACCTTCAGGTTAAATAGAAATTCTTAAGCTATTACGACATAGTTGCAGCCAATAATGACTAAGTTCTCCACTTAATTAAACAACAGACCTCTTTCCTCAAAGATACATCATACATCTTATCATTATTGTAAAATACATATAAAGCAGTAATGTTCAAGAAAAGTTACCTCAAAGAACTCATCTTCAAGTCCATGCACTAGTGCACCAGCAACACTAGCTGCCAGCATTTTAAATTGTTCAGTCGTGTTCCGGCCAAACACTTCCTTTTTCTTTCCAACCTCTAGGACTCGCTTTGATAAGGTTTGCAAAAGCAAATCCTCAGATACTATTTCAATCTTCCCAAGGGCACAAAAAGCTTCAACCCTGACCTCCATGCTCATATCTCTTGCCATAGAACAGAGCTGCATAAATATGAAGTGCATGTAATACCA